TGCAGTCGCGGTGGGGTCGCCATCGTCGTCGCTATACGTACACACACACACACACACACACACACACACGGCACAGACGAGAATGTGTGCATATTCATGATGGGATCCGACCGCCATATTCCGGGTGGCAAATGCAATTCACGCAATGCAATAAATACAACGGCGCAGTGCGGCAGTGACCACAGCCACCGCCACCGACTAACCACCTACGAGGGTTACATACAATCAACGTGTGCAGCAAGGCCCATGCTACGCGAGGTCCGTCAGCCCGATCGCCTAGCCACTGGCAATGGACCGGAAAGCAAAAATGTTGGTCTATATCGGGTTTTAAATTTTTTTATCCATTGGTAACTTCCAAGGATGAAGGACAGGGCCGAGCGGCATGCCTCGAGGTTTAGGTCATTGCGTAGTATTCGGGAGGACGTTGGTTCGATTCCGAGTGCGTCTACTCTACTCAAAGTTTTTTCAATTGTTCTTTTTTTTCGATCCCTTAGGCAAATGCTGGAGCATTAGCAATAGTCTATAGATAATTTTTAACTTCTCTCCTGTCTTCATTTCATCTGTGTTATCTTTCTTACCCCAATCAACACCCACATTTTCCCACGATTCCTATAAAAGTAGACTGAAGAATGCCTTCTGCGTAATCCTGAGGGAAGCAATTTATCGAAATTGCCACGCGTTTCAAAGATCAGTAAATATCAGAAGATGACGACATATTGCCTTAACTTAATATTGTAGAACCAAAAAACTTCATCATAGTAATAAGAAGCCAACTTTGATGTTTTCCTATTATAAAAATTCAAATTTTGAAGACCAATTTTGATCTAAAGATTTTCATAATTTTGTACGATTTCCATTTAGTAGAGTACATATAGACAATGACGGAAAATCGATCTTTGATCCCAACAAGAGCCTTTATTATTTGCTAGCCCTCATAAATATACTTAAATTGGCGAATTTAAAGTCCCCGTTCATATAATTTATCAGTTGAATGTCTAGCATACACCCTCGCCATTTCTTATTAAAATATCTGCACANAGGACGCTATGGAAGTCGATAAGAAATAGATTGGTAGGACACTTTGTCAGGCATGAAGGGCTGATTGGTGACAGAGGCAAAAACAGGAGTAAAGGTTGACTTAGATTGTATTACTGAAATGCGAAGATTATGTTATTATCAGTATTGACAAAACAGTACTGTATGAAAATATACGAAAATAAATAAAAACAGGTATGCAAGGGAAGGAAAAGTAGGGAAAGAGCTAATATAAAGATAGGAGACGAAAAATTAGAAGAAGTTACCGATTTTTTGTATCTAGGAAGTCAGATAAGTCAAAACGGAAGGAGTAGTACGGATATAAAGCAGAGGATAGCGCGGGGTTGAGTCGCCTTCAATAAAAAGAAGTCACTTCTATGCTCGCGAACGATTAATTTAGAAATTCGAAAAAGGTTTTTAAATGTGTATGTTTGAAGCACGGCGCTGTACGGGTGCGAAACATAGACAGTGGGCTCGGCGGAAAAGAGAAGGTTAGAAGAGTTCGAAATGTGGTGTTACAGGCGAATGATGAGGATACCGTGGACAGAGAAGGTTAGAAATGGAGAGATATTAGAAAGATTAAGAGAACAGACACACCTTCTCAGGCATTAAGGTCTAGTGAGAGACATATTAGAGGCAGAAACGGGAGTTAGGAGAGGTACAGGAAGACCTAGATTACTGTTCGCAAATAGTTAAGGATGTGGGATGTTCTAGTTTTAGGGAAATGCGAAGATTAGCTCAAGATAGGAAAGAGTGGAAGTGCGTGTCCAACCAGTCTTAGGACTGACGACCATATGATCATGATGATGATCTTATTATTAATCTTAAGTTGCAGATATTTCGAATTGGAAATTCCGTTTTCCTCATGTGTTCTTCAAATATCTCCAATACATAATTGATTAAAACGTAGTTTCAACCATCGTATAAGTTATAACTGCTAATGATGCATGACCGTATGCTCACGCTTGCCGCCTTCCATCTCACTCTGTGCCTTGTACATTTTCAACGAACGGCGTCTAAGCAAATTACCGACCTATCCGTCTTCGTACGAGCCCATTTATCTATTCATCTATCTATTATCGCCGCTTCTTTCGTCTCCTGGGCTCTATTCATTATTACCGTGGCTTTACGGGCTCTCTTTACAACCTGCTTATTTATATACATACTCACATCGACAGGGGGCCGGAATCTTGAAACGTCGGCTCATATTTTCTTCCGCATAATTAATTTCTACATGACCAATTTGATGATATTTCAAATGGTAATGATGTTATCAGCACCTCTTTTACTTTAAATGGTTAATATTAGATACGTGTGTCATTTATTAACAAAAATTGCCAGCTAACTGCTCATCTAAAAGAAAAAATACAGGCCGACCAAGAGCGAATTGAACAAAATGACGGTTCCATACCAGTATTTAAGTACAAATTGACATATTTAAAATTAATATACATATTTAAAACCAATCCAATCCTCTGAGGTTATTGAAGAATGGAATTGTGGGGGTGGTGATGTCATGGCTACTTTTTCCGGTAGGGGGTGTCAATGTTGATCAAACTTTTTCTTCAGTTTTAAGCATGTTATTTATAAGACTCGATTATGGATTGCATTTTCTTTTGTTTTAGGTATAGAATTGCAAATTTTGTACAATTTAAATTTATATTCAGTTCAAATAATGTGCGAATTCGACCGTCTTTTAGACATCTTCCTTTCTCGCGCGAACAGAACAATAAAAAAAAAAGAGAAAGGCGGAGTAATTACGCTGACAGTCGACGGACGGGAATGATATTAGACCCTCGGTGTTCCGTCGCGACGCCCGACTATTTCTGTACGAGATGTCACCCATTAGAGCGGGCCTTGTGCGCCGCTTGTTCCTTTTGTGATTGTTTTCGTGTTTCCGCTCTGGAATCCCGTTCGCGTCCGCTCGAGACGATGCGCCGTAACCAAAAACGACGCCTACCCCCCTTTTAACGCGACGTCAACGACGCCGGACGTCTTCAAGGGCTCCGACCGACGCCGACCTGACGACGCCGTCTTTTTAGGTACCAAAATGAAAACTTTCCTATTGTCAGTAGTTTTTCTTAGGAAGCATTTTTCAACGTACGTTTGGTAGGGGCAGTACCGTCCTAGCAGTTTCAATGCACCCCCCGGGAAAGGCTATGACGAGTCACGATACCGACATAAACTTTAAAAACATAGAAACCAAACACATTAAACCGACGCTTTTTTAACCTCGAAACTTTACAACACGCAATAACCCCATGACCTAAACGTTTTAAACCTCATACATATGTGATCATGACATTACATCCATACACATACGTATATAAACGTATAGCATTGAAAATTTGCCATCTAGAAGAAATTTCCAGCTACGCCCATGATTATTTTTTAAAATAAAATCGCTGGCAACGTTTGAAGCATTATAATTGTGAGACACTCTGTATACGCGGTAATAATACCAAATAATATTATAATTACTGATAATTGAATTGTAAGCTGTTGTAAAAAGTCTACTTCAGTAGTTGTTTTCGTGTCTGTGGTAAAGTGAAAAAAAAATCATCAACCTGTAATTATCTATTATCATTACGATCTAAGTATAACTAAATCTCCGTGGTCAGAATTCTTGAGAACAGTATACACATCTTTGCCAATTATTCCCAAAAGTTTCATGTGCATCACATGTTCTTTACTGCAATTTAGTATGAGTTATAATTTCCAAGCGGCAACCCCAGCTTTTGGAAACAAAAAATTGCTAAAATATGAGAACTATAGCAAAGTACAAAATCCAGATGAGTTTAAAAACTTTTTAATAATTATTGTTTAGGATCCAACGCGACATAAAAGATTTGCAATCACAAAAACGTTAAATAATAATTATTTTCTGCCTCGAAACCAAAACTTTTTTTCGCATGGTCCCCTTCGAACAATGACAGTGCTGTAGACGCTCCTAATTAAGTTCAATAACACTGAAACGTTTATAAATTTTATGAGCGTTTCTAAAATTAAATTTATTTAGTTGTATCTCCTTACTAAATACTGCATTTATTTCCGTATCATTTATAAATGGTAAAAATTCTGTTAGAAATACGCTGTACCTATTGTTATATGTAGAAATCAACTGATAGAAGCATTATTTCATCATCATAAGGTCGTCAGTCCTAAGACTGGTTGGACACGCGCCTCCACTTTCTTTCCTATCCTGAGCTAATCTTCGCATTTCCCTAAAACTAGAACATCCCACATCCTTGACTATTTGTGACCAGTAATCTTATCTAAATCTACCTCTGCTTCTTTTAACTTCTACTTTTAATATGACTAGCCCTTCATGCCTGAGAAGGTGTTCTACCAGCCTATTTGTTATTGACTCTCAAAGAGTCCTCTGCTCTCCTATTCTTTTTCATACCTCTTCATTTCTTACATTCTCTATCCGCGTTATCCTCATCATTCGTCTGTAACACCACATTTCGAACGCTTCTAACCTTTTCTTTTCCGCCGCGCCCATCGTCCATGTTTCGCACCCGTACAGCGCCGCGCTCCATACATACGCCTTTAAGTGACTTGTAGATAACTCGGTCCTGCGCTTTCCTCTGCTTTATATCCCTACTACTCCTTCCATCCTGAATTATCTAACTTCCTAGGTACTGAAAATCAGCCACTTCTAATGTTTCGTCTCCTATATTGATATTCCCTCTATCCCTTCTTTAAGGAAGAAATATCACTCTAATGGTAACCTCTAGCGGAAAAACTAGTAATGAAATCGAAATACGTCATATTGATTTCCACTATGATCTGAATGTTCCATCTTGAAGGACTTTGAATTAGAGTGATTTTCCTTTTTATTACAGGCATTTTTTACATCTATTGGCCAATCTAATTATAAGATATCTATATTATTTGTTTTACCAAAAATTTGATAATGAAAATCTAGCCTCAAAAGTAATTAGTGTTCGTTTTTGTTGCAGGATGGTTCGAATAATCGCCGATGAATTCCTGACAGATGAACGCGACCGAAAATATTACGCCGATCATTACAGTTGCTGTCCGCCGCCCCTGTTTATTATCATAATCACATTAGTAGAGGTTAGTAAAGCAAAATCTAGTATTTATCTGCTTTGTATTCTCTGGCATTTAATTAAGAGAAAAGAACATAAAATTGCAATGAAAACGATAAGTAACACATCAACAATTAATTGACCCATCTTAATAAATGAAAATATTCCAGTGGCGTATCGACCATGCATAACAGTGTTAATATGCTTTCGTTTGTACATTTAAACGTGTAAATTATTCAGTTAATTCTTGTTACAGTTTTTGAAACACAAACGCGAAGTTTCATACTACTTACAATGATTAACCGGCGATAATATATTTGTAAGTAACCAGGATATAGATCGGCACAATAAATGTATCTGTCGAAGCTGTGGGGCAACCTTCGTTTTTTTAATTTAGATACCTGTAGGTACGAGTTCTTAGCATTTATTAGGTACAGAGAAATGATAATTAATTCAAGTTCCGTTAAGCTTACGATTAGATGGATAGACATTACACATGCATTTTCCCGGCCGGAATTACTGGCAAGTTTGTTTTATGCACATAAAATTAAATTGCAAATAAGTTAATTATTGTTTCTTGCAAAAATATTGGAGTCTAATTGATAGCTAAAAACACGTGCGCATTTCTTGGTGTGTACTATTTGGTATGTCGTAGATATCTAACCGTCATACCATCTATTAAATAATAATTAAACTGTACCTAAAACTGGGGTAGTGTTATTTATTCGAATTTCGGAACCGTTGGAATATCGTGATCAAATAAAGACGAAGTTAGTTCCAGAATTACCATACATAACCTTTGTAAAATTCATGTCAGCGGTTACGGTAATTTTGCAGTTACATTCCTTTGAAATGACAAGACATCAAACATAAGTTAATAAAAAATTGTGAACAATTAATTAATTTGAGGTAGTTTGTAGTGGGTAAATAAAAAAATCGAAAAAATGATTTCAAATTAATATTGCATATTAATCCACTATTAAGTAACTAACAATGTCATAGGATTTCATATATTTANACACACACACACACACACACACACACACACACACACACACACACACGGCACAGACGAGAATGTGTGCATATTCATGATGGGATCCGACCGCCATATTCCGGGTGGCAAATGCAATTCACGCAATGCAATAAATACAACGGCGCAGTGCGGCAGTGACCACAGCCACCGCCACCGACTAACCACCTACGAGGGTTACATACAATCAACGTGTGCAGCAAGGCCCATGCTACGCGAGGTCCGTCAGCCCGATCGCCTAGCCACTGGCAATGGACCGGAAAGCAAAAATGTTGGTCTATATCGGGTTTTAAATTTTTTTATCCATTGGTAACTTCCAAGGATGAAGGACAGGGCCGAGCGGCATGCCTCGAGGTTTAGGTCATTGCGTAGTATTCGGGAGGACGTTGGTTCGATTCCGAGTGCGTCTACTCTACTCAAAGTTTTTTCAATTGTTCTTTTTTTTCGATCCCTTAGGCAAATGCTGGAGCATTAGCAATAGTCTATAGATAATTTTTAACTTCTCTCCTGTCTTCATTTCATCTGTGTTATCTTTCTTACCCCAATCAACACCCACATTTTCCCACGATTCCTATAAAAGTAGACTGAAGAATGCCTTCTGCGTAATCCTGAGGGAAGCAATTTATCGAAATTGCCACGCGTTTCAAAGATCAGTAAATATCAGAAGATGACGACATATTGCCTTAACTTAATATTGTAGAACCAAAAAACTTCATCATAGTAATAAGAAGCCAACTTTGATGTTTTCCTATTATAAAAATTCAAATTTTGAAGACCAATTTTGATCTAAAGATTTTCATAATTTTGTACGATTTCCATTTAGTAGAGTACATATAGACAATGACGGAAAATCGATCTTTGATCCCAACAAGAGCCTTTATTATTTGCTAGCCCTCATAAATATACTTAAATTGGCGAATTTAAAGTCCCCGTTCATATAATTTATCAGTTGAATGTCTAGCATACACCCTCGCCATTTCTTATTAAAATATCTGCACAACCTTCCGGGGTAAAAACGGACAGTGATGTATGGATTCCACTATAGTAGTCTGGGGGTTCTCCGCACGACCAACATGGGCTTAGGTTTGGGGTGGTTGTGTGGTGGTTTGCGTTTCTTCTTGAAATATTTATTACCGTCACACTAAGCTGAGGGGATGATCACGAGCACGCGATAGCAGATCGCTTATTATTGACTCAAAAAGATTCGTACGGGGTAAAGTCTTAAGAAATATTTCATCAGGTACATTAATTCCAAATACGTGTCAGATAAAATAGAAAAATACTAATTGCAATTGAAACGAAGAGGTTACGTTACCTTCTCCAACCATTTTTTTTATCATCTAATGTTCTACCCTTGGAGGTAGAAAATTTTTTTCAAATTTCAATGGTACTACCTTTGCGATATAGCCTATCCAATTAAAAAAAATTGCTAAATTTGGTTCGCAATTGGCGATGGAATCGTCTTAGAATTGATTGTCCCCTCTTCTTTTAGTCGCTTTAAAAACAGTCCTTAGCAACCCTCTACTTGAGTTATTGATTATGTTAATATTCCAAGGGATCAAGGATCTTTTCTACATTAGAATAATTCATAAGTCCATAAAGTAAAGGGTGTGGGGTTGTGACACCATTACACAATGCTTATTGATTAGGTAGTGTAAAAATACTTCCAGCATTCTTCGCATAGGTTCCTTCGTACCTCGACTTTTATTATGTACATTTTTTGAAAGAAAATCCATAAAGTAAGGGAAAATTATTTATGAAAGTATTTTTTGTTTCAGATGACCGGTAAACGTTCAAGAAGTTTTAAATGTGCCGTCCACCATAGAGATCGGGAGGTTTCGTCTGAAAACGATTTTCACCTCCTTTTGGTCGAACCACCCTTATTTCGAAGGTAAATTTTATTTTATTACATATCCCACAGCGGTAGTAAAATATATGTGTGACCCTTCGACGGCTGAATTTACGTTTAAATACCCTCAACAAGTCGAAAGATTGGTGATATTCAATTAAAAATTTCGATCAAACGACAAACTCTTGGGATATCAAAAACAAACCCTTTATAATTAGTTTAATTCTTTCGTTGGATGTTTTAAACTGATTAGATTTGTAAAGTGAATGCCTATTAGCTTAGCGTGTGGAGGTAGAGATTTTTCTATAAATCTTATCATCTGATGCCTTATGAGGATTCGATTAAAGCAAACATTAACTTAGTTTTTTTAGATAAACTTTATAGAAACTTGAGATTGTGTCATATTTGAAAATTATCAGCTAATATAATTCGATTTTAATTTAATGGCGAATGGGACATGGCGTCATATGCCCTTTGTGTGTCATATAGGGCAGCCTTATTGTGTTTACATGAGACACTTTGGCTAGCACAATAGGGACCCTACTTACAGATCCCTAAAATTTTAATCGAGAATCTTCACCTAATTCCGAAATATCCTATCATCAGCTATCTCAGTTGCACCAATTTCTACTACAAGTCTATTTATTAAAATTAATTTTGATGTAGGGGAGACCGGGGATAGTTGACTATAGGGGTAGGTAGACTAACTACCGAAAACTCTTCGACAGTGTATGAACTATGTCATCTGATCATAACCAAGCATTACATTTCGCGTCCCGCTCAGTTGTCTGAAGCGTCACATCGCGGTCGTGCGTTGTTTTCGAACACTGACATGTTTTTCATATTTCAATCACATAAGTAATATTTTGATATATTGTATTTTTTGATCTGATGCCTACTCGTTTTATGTAAATCATTTTTCTATTAGTCCTAGCNGCTAACCTCAACATGATAGGCACGTTACCATAATCGAATAAAATAATTCGAAGTGGTCTGTATTCTGTCGAAACTGCCAGACGCGGATCGCGATTTCGATCTTTTTGGAACTCATCAGCGCGTCGCAGGCAACTCCGACAGAACAAAGACCAACTTTTACCTGCTGTCTTAACAGCACGTTTTAGAAAATACCACAAATGGCGCGGTAAACGCCATCTGTAGTACAATGCTACATTTTAGGATTACATATGCTCCAACAAGGTCCATTTAAATATATGGATATCTACTTGCTGAAACTAATCCTGGCGTAGCTAACCTCAACATGATAGGCACGTTACCATAATCGAATAAAATAATTCGAAGTGGTCTGTATTCTGTCGAAACTGCCAGACGCGGATCGCGATTTCGATCTTTTTGGAACTCATCAGCGCGTCGCAGGCAACTCCGACAGAACAAAGACCAACTTTTACCTGCTGTCTTAACAGCACGTTTTAGAAAATACCACAAATGGCGCGGTAAACGCCATCTGTAGTACAATGCTACATTTTAGGATTACATATGCTCCAACAAGGTCCATTTAAATATATGGATATCTACTTGCTGAAACTAATCCTGGCGTAGCTAACCTCAACATGATAGGCACGTTACCATAATCGAATAAAATAATTCGAAGTGGTCTGTATTCTGTCGAAACTGCCAGACGCGGATCGCGATTTCGATCTTTTTGGAACTCATCAGCGCGTCGCAGGCAACTCCGACAGAACAAAGACCAACTTTTACCTGCTGTCTTAACAGCACGTTTTAGAAAATACCACAAATGGCGCGGTAAACGCCATCTGTAGTACAATGCTACATTTTAGGATTACATATGCTCCAACAAGGTCCATTTAAATATATGGATATCTACTTGCTGAAACTAATCCTGGCGTAGCTAACCTCAACATGATAGGCACGTTACCATAATCGAATAAAATAATTCGAAGTGGTCTGTATTCTGTCGAAACTGCCAGACGCGGATCGCGATTTCGATCTTTTTGGAACTCATCAGCGCGTCGCAGGCAACTCCGACAGAACAAAGACCAACTTTTACCTGCTGTCTTAACAGCACGTTTTAGAAAATACCACAAATGGCGCGGTAAACGCCATCTGTAGTACAATGCTACATTTTAGGATTACATATGCTCCAACAAGGTCCATTTAAATATATGGATATCTACTTGCTGAAACTAATCCTGGCGTAGCTAACCTCAACATGATAGGCACGTTACCATAATCGAATAAAATAATTCGAAGTGGTCTGTATTCTGTCGAAACTGCCAGACGCGGATCGCGATTTCGATCTTTTTGGAACTCATCAGCGCGTCGCAGGCAACTCCGACAGAACAAAGACCAACTTTTACCTGCTGTCTTAACAGCACGTTTTAGAAAATACCACAAATGGCGCGGTAAACGCCATCTGTAGTACAATGCTACATTTTAGGATTACATATGCTCCAACAAGGTCCATTTAAATATATGGATATCTACTTGCTGAAACTAATCCTGGCGTAGCTAACCTCAACATGATAGGCACGTTACCATAATCGAATAAAATAATTCGAAGTGGTCTGTATTCTGTCGAAACTGCCAGACGCGGATCGCGATTTCGATCTTTTTGGAACTCATCAGCGCGTCGCAGGCAACTCCGACAGAACAAAGACCAACTTTTACCTGCTGTCTTAACAGCACGTTTTAGAAAATACCACAAATGGCGCGGTAAACGCCATCTGTAGTACAATGCTACATTTTAGGATTACATATGCTCCAACAAGGTCCATTTAAATATATGGATATCTACTTGCTGAAACTAATCCTGGCGTAGCTAACCTCAACATGATAGGCACGTTACCATAATCGAATAAAATAATTCGAAGTGGTCTGTATTCTGTCGAAACTGCCAGACGCGGATCGCGATTTCGATCTTTTTGGAACTCATCAGCGCGTCGCAGGCAACTCCGACAGAACAAAGACCAACTTTTACCTGCTGTCTTAACAGCACGTTTTAGAAAATACCACAAATGGCGCGGTAAACGCCATCTGTAGTACAATGCTACATTTTAGGATTACATATGCTCCAACAAGGTCCATTTAAATATATGGATATCTACTTGCTGAAACTAATCCTGGCGTAGCTAACCTCAACATGATAGGCACGTTACCATAATCGAATAAAATAATTCGAAGTGGTCTGTATTCTGTCGAAACTGCCAGACGCGGATCGCGATTTCGATCTTTTTGGAACTCATCAGCGCGTCGCAGGCAACTCCGACAGAACAAAGACCAACTTTTACCTGCTGTCTTAACAGCACGTTTTAGAAAATACCACAAATGGCGCGGTAAACGCCATCTGTAGTACAATGCTACATTTTAGGATTACATATGCTCCAACAAGGTCCATTTAAATATATGGATATCTACTTGCTGAAACTAATCCTGGCGTAGCTAACCTCAACATGATAGGCACGTTACCATAATCGAATAAAATAATTCGAAGTGGTCTGTATTCTGTCGAAACTGCCAGACGCGGATCGCGATTTCGATCTTTTTGGAACTCATCAGCGCGTCGCAGGCAACTCCGACAGAACAAAGACCAACTTTTACCTGCTGTCTTAACAGCACGTTTTAGAAAATACCACAAATGGCGCGGTAAACGCCATCTGTAGTACAATGCTACATTTTAGGATTACATATGCTCCAACAAGGTCCATTTAAATATATGGATATCTACTTGCTGAAACTAATCCTGGCGTAGCTAACCTCAACATGATAGGCACGTTACCATAATCGAATAAAATAATTCGAAGTGGTCTGTATTCTGTCGAAACTGCCAGACGCGGATCGCGATTTCGATCTTTTTGGAACTCATCAGCGCGTCGCAGGCAACTCCGACAGAACAAAGACCAACTTTTACCTGCTGTCTTAACAGCACGTTTTAGAAAATACCACAAATGGCGCGGTAAACGCCATCTGTAGTACAATGCTACATTTTAGGATTACATATGCTCCAACAAGGTCCATTTAAATATATGGATATCTACTTGCTGAAACTAATCCTGGCGTAGCTAACCTCAACATGATAGGCACGTTACCATAATCGAATAAAATAATTCGAAGTGGTCTGTATTCTGTCGAAACTGCCAGACGCGGATCGCGATTTCGATCTTTTTGGAACTCATCAGCGCGTCGCAGGCAACTCCGACAGAACAAAGACCAACTTTTACCTGCTGTCTTAACAGCACGTTTTAGAAAATACCACAAATGGCGCGGTAAACGCCATCTGTAGTACAATGCTACATTTTAGGATTACATATGCTCCAACAAGGTCCATTTAAATATATGGATATCTACTTGCTGAAACTAATCCTGGCGTAGCTAACCTCAACATGATAGGCACGTTACCATAATCGAATAAAATAATTCGAAGTGGTCTGTATTCTGTCGAAACTGCCAGACGCGGATCGCGATTTCGATCTTTTTGGAACTCATCAGCGCGTCGCAGGCAACTCCGACAGAACAAAGACCAACTTTTACCTGCTGTCTTAACAGCACGTTTTAGAAAATACCACAAATGGCGCGGTAAACGCCATCTGTAGTACAATGCTACATTTTAGGATTACATATGCTCCAACAAGGTCCATTTAAATATATGGATATCTACTTGCTGAAACTAATCCTGGCGTAGCTAACCTCAACATGATAGGCACGTTACCATAATCGAATAAAATAATTCGAAGTGGTCTGTATTCTGTCGAAACTGCCAGACGCGGATCGCGATTTCGATCTTTTTGGAACTCATCAGCGCGTCGCAGGCAACTCCGACAGAACAAAGACCAACTTTTACCTGCTGTCTTAACAGCACGTTTTAGAAAATACCACAAATGGCGCGGTAAACGCCATCTGTAGTACAATGCTACATTTTAGGATTACATATGCTCCAACAAGGTCCATTTAAATATATGGATATCTACTTGCTGAAACTAATCCTGGCGTAGCTAACCTCAACATGATAGGCACGTTACCATAATCGAATAAAATAATTCGAAGTGGTCTGTATTCTGTCGAAACTG